CTATTTGAAGAACTTCCCCTAACATTTTCTGTAGTGCTTTGTCTTCTGAAAATCAATTCTCTCAATTATTGCTTGTCTGAAAATGTCTGCACCATTTTTTATTTTTGAAAGTTATTTTTACTATAGAATTCTTAATTGATAATATCTTTTTTCTTTCAACATATTAAATGTATCACTCTATTGTCTTCTCTCTATATATAAATATATATATTTATAGAGACAGATTTATTTATATAAATATAAATGTTTATATAAATTTTATATTAATATATTTATATAAGATTATATTATATAAATATAAATAAATCTCTATAAATATATATTTCTATATATAGAAAAAGTCAATAAATGTTTGTATATATATAGAAAAAATATATAGAGAGAAATATATATGTGTGTGTTTTTTTTGAGACAGAGTCTACTCTGTCACCCAGGATGGAGTGCAGTGCTGTGATCACGACTCATCTTGACCTCCCAGGCTCAAGCAATCCTCCCCCTTCAGCCTCCCAAGTGGCTGAGACCGCAGGTGTGTCCCACTGCTATTGGCTAATTTTTTGTAGAGGCAGGGTCTCACTATGTTGCTCAGGCTGGCATCAAACTCCTAGGCACAAGCCATCCACCAACCTCAGCCTCCCAAAGTGTTGTGATCAGTCAAGTAATTTACTGATCAGCATGATCTTTTCAGAGTTTGATTTTAAGTTTTTTTAGGGTGGGTCTAGTGTACCCCTAACTCTACAACTAACTGAGCCCTACTATTAAAGTGGCTTCACTGATTTCCCCAGGTGTTAAAAGTATCTTGCCATTCTTGCTGGCTGGAATTCAAACCTCTCCTAGCCCTATGTAATCCCTGGGAATTGTTCAGTCTACAGTTCCTCGGTGGTGCATATGCAGGTTAGGATTCATCAGCAGACTCAAGGGTACTTCTCTCTCGATTTCTGGAGTGCATTATCTATGTAGCTTCCTTCTCTTCCTTACTTTTCCCTGCAAATGGTAGCCCCCTCCACCTCTCTGAACTTTAATCTCCATCTTCTCATTCAGTGAGACTACTGCATTCTATGTGGTTTCTTTCCCCTCTGCTATGTCCTGGAAATTACCTACAGATAGAAAGCAGGGAAGACGTAGGGGCTTGCACCATCAATTTTCTTCCTTCCTGGACTATTTCCTACACTACCTAGTGCTCAATGAATGAAACCAGCTTTTTCATAAATTTTGTTCAGTTTTATAGTTAATCACAGCACGAAGCAAAATCCAGTATTAATTACTGCAATATAGCCAGAAACAAAAGTGATCCTGGGATGTTATGTTTATATACTAACACAAAAAAAGACAAAGATCTTAGATTTTAATCCTCATGGACTGAGAGCTGTCTTGCATAAATCAGCAAATCCTTTTTCTATGGTATATTATGACCTCCTTAAAATATTTTGGTGTTCCTATGCCATAATACTATAATCTAGAAAATCACCCCAGAGATGATACATATTGGAAAGACTATTACTTATTGTCCTCCTAAGATATCCCATTAACTTGCAAGTTGTGACCTTCTACCTACACACTAAAGACTCCAACATTTTAATTTGTGGTTCAGATACCTTTATTGGACCTTGACCCCATCCCATTACCTACTAGACATCTCCTCCTCACTTCCCAGGTTCAACAAACCTAGTTATTTCCTTTCCGTCAATCACACCACCATCTCTTCCACAACTGGCTTTTCTTTCTCTATTCAAACTCACTTCTTAAACCAGATGCTAAAAATAATCACCAGATGTTATTCCTTTTCAGCCATACTCCACATGAAAAAGCAGTCACCAAACTTTATTATTTCTCCCTTCTAGCTGTTGCTGACATGTCTTCCTCATGTCTATAATTTAGATTTCTAGTATTTCTTGCATGGACTAGTACAGTACTATGGTAGTTGTTCTTCTCTGAACATTGCCTTAATTCTTTCTGATCTATCTTCTACATTTCCATTCAAAAGATATTCTAAGATGCAGTTTAGTCATTTATCCTTATTAAAATGTCTTCAGTAAAGCCATATCATTTAACTGCATAAACATAAATTTTGTGACAATAAATTTTGTTCATGACCTGGTATCTCATCTCCTTCTCATATTTTACCTTTTTACTTTATGCTCCAATTTTACAAAAATATTCTTCTAGTGAGTCTTTGAGGAGGCCCCGTTTCCATCTGGAATCCCTTTAGCCTATGTCTCCACCTATCACATCTCTCTCGTACTTTAAAAACACTTCTCAAATGTTGTTTCCCAAAGGAAGTGTTCTGTGGCTCCCAAATCTTTTTGCAGAGATACAATTATCTCTATATTTTGTAAATGCTTCTATTGGTCTACTTATTTCGCTGCATTATAATTTGTTTATATGTATTTTTTGTCTTTACCATATTTTGTGCCTTTGAAGACATAGATTCCTAGTCATCTTCGAATTTTCCATGCCTATCACAACTAAAATCTAGTAGCAACATCAAAAATGTGAATCTAGGAAACTTTATGTAGCCCAAACATGGTGCATCCTTTCCTTTCTTCTGCAAAGGCACAGGTTCCTCACCATCCTGTTACAGGATAAGGGGAGAGGCAGAATCAGAAAGATGAAACTACAGTTCTGGCAGGCTTGAGAAATTGCCTACTAATTTTTTTTCTATTTGTAGTCCACAAGGTAGACAGTCCTGTTCTCTTCCTTATTGACTAATTTGTGCTAAAATATAAAGGCTTAAAAATATGATTTTATGCAAATATGAAATGAACTTGTTAAAGATATTCTTTAACTCACTAGCTAACATATTGGAAAGACTATTACAATAAGTAATAGTCTAAAAAAGACTTATTTTAATAGTCTTTCCAATATGAGTTAAAGAATCAGTTCAAAGAAGGGCCTGAAGAACAGATATATATATATAGTAAGGAATGCTGAAATAAATTTTCTAATGACATAAATAGGCAATATCTTTATTAGGCAGTAAAATGTAATGTTTGAGAGTATCTCTTCTATCTGGCACAAATCAATTTTATCCCTAAGAAGTAAGACTTATTTGCACTGATATAGGAAGAACCTTTTGTGTAGCTATCAGTTCTCTACTATTTCTACCCTTACAGATTTATAAAATAGTCTACCCAATAAAAAGTCAAAGATGCATACCCTCATAAAACCAGTTACTCCAGAAAATTAGCTAGACAGTGTGCAGCCCTCAATTGTAAAGACATTGTAATTTCCAAGTCTTGGAATTTTCTTCCCTGACATCAATGAAATAATATTCCTTCATTTCCTAGAGAAAAAATGATATTTCCCAGATGGGATATACATACAACTCTTAAGACATTTTGAATACTTTTAATTGAAAAGTAAAAATGCAAAGCATTATAGAGTGAAACGTCAGATGTTTTAGCTTTAACTTTTTCCACTTTATAAATCTAAAAGGCTCAATCTTAACAACATAGATTCTGGGGTCAGGCTGCGTGACTATGAATCACAGCTCCAAGGCTGCCTGACATAGAGCAAGCTAAAAACTCTTGATGCTTTATTTCTCTCATCTGAAAAATGAGAATGTTAGTATTTATCTCATGTGTAATAAGGATTAACTGAGCTATTTTCATTTTATTTTTTGTGTATATACCGCACTTGGAACAGCGCCTGGCACATGGTTAACATTATAAGGATTTGTTGAACAAAATTCGAAAATATAACATAGATAGAAGAAAAGGAAGAAAGGTTTGCATTTAAGTCTTTGAAGGCATCTTCATGAACATTCATGATAGTGACTCTGGACTTCTATTCCTATTCAGCCATTATTTAAGAGAAACGGCTCCTTCCTGAATTACCTAAGGCCAAAGACAATTCACCCAGATACCATTCCATTTTCTTTTGATACTGATTCTGTAGGAATTTTCTTCTTTTGAGGGAAATCTAGCATTTAGTAACCTGTGGAGCATAACATTTCTTCTAGTGATGACTTGATTCTATTCTTCACAAAGACAACTTTAATGATACTCAAGGAGCACATACTTGAGTTAAGAATGGATCTGAGCACACTGGCTCATGCCTGTAAACCCAGCATTTTGGGAGGCCTAGGCGGGGGGATCACTTGAGGTCAGGAGTTCATGACTAGCCTGGCCAACATGGTGAGACTCCCCCCCCATCTCTACTAAAAATACAAAAATTAGTGGTTGCAGTGAGCTGAGATTGTGCCATTGCACTCCAGCCTGGGAGGCAGAGTGAGTCTCCATTTCAAAAAAAAAAAAAATAGATCTGAGACATGAAGGACAAAGAACTCCATCTCCCTCTAGATACTTTCTGAGCCTCATATTTTTCCTGATTTCAGCTCATCCCACTAGCCAAAAATGATCATCCAACTTGAACAATTTCTGCATAAATTAAGTATATCAATCAACAATGATTTATCAATAAACTTAAAGGTAAAAAGCATTCCACAAACCCCTAAGCTATAAGTGAGAGCTCTACAATGTATACAACCCAGAAGATAGGTGGACTATGTGTCAGTTAGTGGAGAAAATGGATACAGGACAAGCCACACTACCAGAATGATGTGCTCGCCATGCATTGTGTTGTTTTCACAATAAACCTATGAGGTGGGTACTGCCTAATTTTATTTCCTCCAGAATTTAAGGAAGCTTAGATTTAATTGGTTGTGAAGGTCACACAGCAATTACACTGTAAGACTTGACTGTGGATTTTACCAGAATGGAAAATTCCCATTTCATCCCTTCTCTCCAGTCTGTGGCTATACTCTATAGGTACTCCTTGGGGTCATGTGCATCCTAGAGGATGCTTTCTTGCCTTGAGACCAAGGACACAGGTGGTGTTACCCAAGTGATCAAAAGAAATCTAAGCTTTTTTTTTCCACTTGCCATATTCATCCCTCGATATAGTCAGGGAGACTTATTTTTATTTAGGAGTTGATTCAGAGTTATTTTCAAAATACACCTTCTGTTTCTCAAGAAAAAATATTAAAAAATGAATGCTTTTAAATTTTTTTTTATTTGAGCAAAAATATGTATACTTAATTTTACTTATGCCAGAAGTAATTATAACTTCTCAGTCCAAGGATGTTAGGAACCAACTTACAGAGCATGCTCCAGAAAGAATTATCTTGGCCTTTGAAGGTATCTATTTTCAAACTCAATAGTAGAGTCAAGAAAAAATTGACAATTACAGTTTTCAAAATTGAAAAATATTACATATTTTATACAATAATTTATGGTTAATAGATTTTATTTTTATATGTATCTCTATGTAGTGGTACACTGAGGACATAGCAAATATACAATAAATACTTATTAAACTAAAGTGAACTGACAAAAACCATTACACCATTTCTAACAACCAAACCAGCTATTGCTTTTCAGTCTTTTGGTAACACGTTGAGATAGGAAATCATATTCAAATTGGTTAGCTCCTTGGAAGAAATAGTAGTATCCTGAAAATGAAAACAAATTAAAGTTTAATTTCCTCCCTGTAGTTCTTTAACTAAAACCAACAACAACATAGATCTGTTTTCATAGATTGTCTGGATTAGAGGACCTATGGGCTGTGACTCATGCCCTTAACTGCAACACTGTGGGAGGCTCAGATGGGAAGACTGCTTGAGGCCAGGAGTTTGAGATCAGTCTGGCCAAGATCACAAGACCTCATCTCCATTTTTAAATCAAAATATAACAAATTAAAAAAAGATGCTATGTGATTTGAGACTATAAATGTTGGGGACCATTGGGCTGTGTATCATGTTCCCCCAGACATCTACCTACAGCCAGTCATACTCCAGGTAGAGGATTCATGAGACAGGATATTGGACCCAGGTAGGGTGCACAGGGGCCTTGATGGAGGAAACAACACTAGGGATGGGGAGGGAATGCAAATGAAAAATCTTGGTCCCATGAACACTTGCATAGGCTGGTCTTGTTTGAAGACATATGACATAAACTCAAGTTTCTCTCAACCCACCTCAGTCCTCAGTCCATCAGGGCCTGTGAGGTATGAAGGGACTACAGTGCATAGTGTAGGAAAGGGTGAGATGCCAGACTGCCCGAGTTTTGGCTGCCATGTACTTGCATACTATGCAGCTGATGAGGTCAAAGGAAATTCCAGAGACTCAGGAACATGGGAAATAGCAACAATCGCATTCCCACTGCCTGCCAGACAACTCTGGGAATACACCACTTGTGCCACCAGCCCCGGCTCATTATAGCTCTCTTATTCAGAAACACGTACTGTGTGAGTTTTTCCTTGTGGCTCTGTGGGGAATTGCAGAGACCTGTCCCTTTCCAATTTGGAGCCCTGTTCTCTAATCTTAGAGGATTTATAGTTTTGAAATGGGATTTCCAGTATCTTCATGGTTTTCTCAACTACTTACTGTTTTTAGAAAAGACTGCATCAATTTTAGGCCCAGTTACTGGGAAGTTCTTGGTAATCAGTTTGGGATAATCAGTGTCCATCAAATGTCTCCTCTCATCATACCTGAGCAAAGAAGTAACCAGCAGAAACTCAATCAGAAAGTGGCTTTCCTGACATGCACCACAAACCCACTTTCTCTACTGAAGGGCTCTTCCCAAAAGGGCTTAAGTTGTTCTAATGAAGAAAACCAAGGACCTAAACAGTTCATTGATTTCCTCTAAGTCCCTGTAGGACTCAAACCTATGTTTCCTGACTCTGGTTAAGTTTTTTTCCCACTACTTCCACCAGTGCTTGGTCCTGCTTTATAGAGTCTGGCATGGAAGGTGATTTGGCTATAGCATTCGCCCCAGTGACCAGTTCTTCAGCTGCCTATCATTGCCTTCTTTTCAAAGCTTTCCACTGAGACAAAAATACCCTTTTCCCCCAAGAAGATCATAAACAGGTCAAGGGACCAAGAGCCAGGGAACCAAAGGGTTTTAAACACACATGTTCAAGAGAAATTGAAAATAAACCCTTTTATTTCTAGGCTGTATGGTCAGGTCCTAGTTTCTCTCTTAAATTCTCTTTTACCAGCAAGTGAAAAGAGTTTTGTTTCTCTCTAGACTTCAAAGTGGCAACTGAATCTAACTGTTACCTTGTTTTTATTTAGTTTGGGTTTCTAAGCATTTATGGCTTGTTTAGCACTCTCTCACTGGCCTTTAAGGGGAAACTCCTGGGCCAAGTGGAAGCAGAAAACTAAACAGAGCCACTGTTCAGAGTTGAAATTTCAGTGTTCATAATAACAGGCTACAGCAAACCGCACCCATCTGTACACTCTTTAGAAAGTGTTATTTGCTAAAATCAAGTTTTGTTTCTCAAACAGGGCTAAGGGTTGGTGGTCAAGCTCAAGTCATAAGCATGAGGTATTCAATTGGAATTAGATGTTGAGTTTTAAATGTTTAAGAAAAAATAATTATTGTAAATGTAAGCTTCACTTATACATCATGTCTCATGTCAACCAGGTAAGCAATCTAGGAAATGACTGGCTTACTCAGAAGAAGGAATAGAGAATCCTCTCCTCCTTCAAAATTTAGACACTTGGGACAAAAGAGATAGACACTCAAATGAGCTCCTATCCTCCCTTGACCAGGGTCTGACTTTCTTTTAAGGAAGAACTTGCAAGACCTCCTGTCATTTAGAGGATAATTTCCTCATTTTGTCTTTTGAATCTAGTGATTATAGAAAGGAGTCTGAAAATCCATACACCCTCCAAACTGACTGTAGATTAAATACATGGTCTCGTACATCTACGACACTATTTTCCAATGTGCTTCCATTATGATTAATAACATGACATTTTATTAAGTATTTTTTTTAAAAAAAACACATTACTATCTCATATATCAGAATCAAAAACGTAAATAACTCGGTTGACAATAACTGTTTCAGTCCTATATTCTCTTAATCTCTCTCCCTGGAAGGTCAAGGAGCTTTGGGAACTTGCACACAAAAGGTGCTTTCTGGAAAACCTGTCCCATGCCTGTTTCACAATCTGAGGGGTCAAATGACCAACCATTAAAGCTCACCTCCAATATTGGTTATCTATAAAGAAGTAGGTCTTATATAAATGTGGGTTATAAACAGCTGCATCAATTTTTTTCACAAAGTTAGGGAAACCAAAAGAGCGTATGTTCTTAGGATAATTTGGCTGTGGTCTTAAATTGCTAATTAACCAGTATTTGTCATCTGTGAATACAAAGAAAAAGAGTACATTTGAATTATACAGGAAGAGTAATAAGAAAATATTGATTTACTATAAACAACATAATTCCTTTCCCACAGTTATAAAATGTATTGCTTATTTATCTTGAACATAGTCTATTTTCTATGGTTCCTATGGGTTTTTTTTCACAAGTATTACTATTTTATAGTTTACAAACTTTTTCAGAAAGTTGTATGTATTACTTAGGTATTCAGACTATTTTAGCTTATAGTTCAGAGCCACCGTTAATAAAATCTAAAGTGCTTTTTGGTCTATATCTGTTAAAAGGTATTAATATCTTCTTAATTTATTCTCTTCCTTGAAGTAGACTCAATGACAAAACTAAAAATTAAAATTACCTTTAAAAAGAAAAACTTGATTTCTGGCTTCAATTTCATAAGCAGCTTGAATGCTAGATGGCAAAGTTGGCCATAAGGAAGAAATTAAACTAACACTGGTCTTTGGCCTCTGAGGAAACGTCACCAAGAGGAACCTGGCATGAAAGACATTTGACACATGTTTAAAAACAATGTAGACTCAAGAACCATGGCGTGTGAATGGGAAGGGCCTGTGAAAAGACCCAGTGTTTCTTTCCATTGTCTTCACATTCTGTTCCATGGCTGTCTGATATCCATGGATCCACAAGAAAAGAATATTAATCAACTCTTTGATAATAAAAATGATTTTAACAAGTAACCTGATATACGGAAACACCCTGGAGCTTGGAATCCAGGGATCTAAGCTTCTAGCGTGACCCTAGAATCCACTCCCCAGTTTTGTAACCTCAAGGAAGTCACCTAAGCTCAAGTGTCTCAGTCTTATAATCTCAAAAATGGGAAATATTTGTCCTACTTGACAAATGTTAATCTTCCTAACTCTCTCTTTTTACCACCAATACCTGCTTCAGTCTGTGTTCTAAGGAAGAATTCATAAGTTATCCTGGAATTCTCTCCTCCATAACTAAGAAATCAAGCCTCTTGCATAGGTACTTTTTTATAGTCTTAGTTTCAGCCCTCACCATTTTTATCTATGATTACTATAGTCTGGCTTCTGTTTCCTGTCTTCTAATTTCCCATCCCAGACTCCTACTGCAAATCCTTTTTTACACACCGGTTTTCTAGCTAAAACACAAATGTAATCACATCTGTCTTCCTACTTCAAAACCTTTAAGATCTCCTCATTGCCTATAGAATCAAGTCCAAGTTCTTGCTTACAAGTTTCATCTACTTCATTTTCAATTATTTTCCACTGTTCTCTGATTAAAAAAATATATAAACGCAGAAACTTTAATATCGGTTAGATATGAAAAGGATCCTACCTGTCTTTGAAGAAAAAGATCTTATCTCCCACTGTAGTGACAGCATCAAAACTCAAATTGGGGTCGCAGGGTGCTGGTTTAGAATTGTCAGGCTTTGGCATGGGTTGGTACTCTTTTGGACCTCCTGAAAATACATTTCAAGAAGCATTAGAAAACAAAATCTGCATTTTAGTTCAGAGGAGGAAAACTGTTATTTTTAAATACTAAATTTTCTTAATGAACATTGTATCAAAATCAATTTAAGCATTCTATAACATTTACAGGAAGCATGAAGTAAGGTGTTTTTATCCATACGGTTACAATATCATGGAGGAAGAAAATCTGATTATCTTTCCTTTCCTTTTCCAGTTAAAATAAATTATTTAATATGCAGGCCCTCTTCAGTAAGGCAATGGTATCTTGCATAGAAAAAACACCAGATTTGAGGCCTCTGGTTCTGCCTCTGGCTCTGACATTAACATCCTCATCTGTAAAATGAAGATAATACCCGTGTCGCCTACCTCACAGGGTTTTTATGGAGTTCAAAAGACATATATTAAAGTTTTATCCAAATATAGATATTGTTAGACTATTCATGAGTGAGTATCTTTATATGGCAAAATGATAAATAAATTCAACTCACCATAAAGTGACTGAATGCCATGTATGTCATCAGCAGAGAGGCGAAATGTGCTGACATCAACATATTTGTAGGTGGGGAACATGATGGCATTTGGATCATTGGAATGGCCAAGACCTAAGGAATGGCCAATCTCATGAACAGCAACGAGGAACAAATTTGTGCCTAAGAAGAAACCAGTCAAAAGACAGAAAGCTGTGAAATGCATTATCATCTTGGACAATATCACAATATCTGACACAGTGAAAAAGAAACATTTAAGAATATTTTACTTATTTCTATACCCTTTTGAATAGGGTTTCTCAGCCTCAGCATTACTGACATTATATGCCAGTAGTCTGGGATGTCTTGTGTGTTATAGATGTTTAGAAATCTCAGGTTTTACCCCTAAATGCAAGTAGCAAATCCCTTTTTAGTTTTGACAACAAAAAATGTCTCCAGACATTGTCAAATGTCCCCCGGGGACAAAATTGCCTCTGGTTAAGGACTGCTTTACCAGTAGACAAAATATATTCTGTTGTAAAAATTTCTAGAATAACTCACAGCTACCTTCAAAAGTTTTCATTGTTTCTAAATAATTCTCAACTCTCATGACTCAATTCTGGTTTTACTCTTCATGAAGCTTTACTAGGTATAGAAAAAAATGTTTTTCTTTACTAGAAAAACTAGCTTTACTAGGTACAGCAATTGTCTTTTCCTAAACCCAAATATAAGGCTATCATTAATCTTCAGGTGCTGTTAGTCACCGAGAAATGTAACACATTGTGTGTAATTCTCACACAACTGAAAGAAAGCCACTGTGCTCCCATTACAGATGAGGAAACAGTATCAATAAGATTAATCAAATTAAGTGCTTGAGCCAAGTTTTAAATCCAAATTTCTTGGCTCTAATGTTCATGCTTTTACTACACATGATTCTAAGTAAAATTAAAGAGTCTATATGACTCAAGGAAAGAATGTAAAAAAACAAAAAAAAGAAAAAATAATTCTTAAAAAAGTCTGTACTTAAAATTTAGACATATTTGGACTACCAAGTTACAGTGTTTTCCGTCTTTTCTTTTGAGCCCCATTCAGACTTCATCATTTTCATCTATGATTAAAATAGTTTGTCTTTAATATCTGTCTTTTCTTTTGAGTCCCATAAGAACTCCTTGTTCATTTTTGTGGTATGCCCTAGAGAATGCACCTTTGTAGGTAAGAGAAGAGAGAGAGGTATGTCCCTTTTCACAAATATCTCAATTTGCAGAATATTTGAAACTCCCTGACTAACATTTTTGTTTTCTAGTCCAATGCCTTCATTTTTGTCTTCTTCTATGACAAAATTGTAGTTCAGAAGAACTGACTTCCCCAGAGTCACACATCAGTTAGCTGCAGAACCTGACCTTGAAATACTCTCCCGTACCCAAGCGCAAAGAGGCTACACCTCCCTCTCGGAGAGTGTTTAGACACAAATCCTTCAAGAATTTTCTGTATCATGGGTCCAGCAAAGTTTTTACAATTTAGCCAAACCTGAATTTATCCTTTTTTCAACTCCTATAATATGTCTATGAGCCACCACCATTGATCCTCATCTCAAAATAAGGGATTTATGTTTGTATCCTGTTTCTCACTAGATTGTGTGCTCAAGGGTAGGATTTTGTCCTTTTCATCTCTGTAATCAAATAGCCTCATTACCCAATACCGTAATTAAATAGGCCAGCAAGAATTAACCTATTTGTTTGTTTAATTTACTGAGTAAAAGAAAACAGGCTGAGGCTCTTAGTGGCTTATGCCTGTAATCCCAGCACTTTGGGAGGCCAAGGCAGGCAGGTCACCTGAAGTCAGGAGTTTGAGAGCAGCCTGGTCAACATGGTGAAACCCCGTCTCCACTAAAAAAAAAAAAAAAAAAAAAAAAAAAAAAAAAAAAAAAAAAAAAAAAAAAAAAAAAAAAATTTGCCATGTGTGGTGGACAGCACCTGTAATCTCAGCTAGTGGGGAGGCTGAAGTAGAAGTGCCTGAACCCTGGAGGCGAAAGTTGCAGTGAGCCGAGATAGCACCACCACACTCCAGCCTGGGTGACAGAGCAAGACTCCATCTCAAAAACAAACAACAAGCAAACAAACAAACAACAAAACAGGCTGAAAATAAGCATTTTAAGTTATAATTGTCATAAATAACTTGATTTTTTGAAAGCATTGAATTAATCCAATTAAAAATAAGGCAACATGGACAGATGGAAAATACTGGGCTAAGAGGTAGGAATGCATGTTCTGGTCCAGCTTTTCCACAAACTGGCCACTAACCTTCTCTTGGCCTTAATTTCCTTTACCTATGGAAAGCTGCATTAAATTACTCTTCTAAGGTTCATTAGAATTCCAAAACATTTTTTGAGGCTAACTAGCACAAGTATCCTAAGATGAAAGGGTTACAATCCCCCAAATAAACTTGGATAACATTTAGGCACATATAACATGTCTGGCTGAGGATTTGCAATTCAGCAAGTACCTAATCATACATGATCTGTCTTTTGACAATATAAAAGTCCTCTTCTCATCAAAAACTTTAAGCCTTAGGCTATGTGTTGGACTAAAACAGTCTTTCTGGTGGACATAATATCTAAAAAAATACTGACATTCAACATGTGCAATATCACCCAGAGAGGAGGATGGCGAATAGAGAATATCCTTGATGACTTTCTCCCCATTTACTTTCCACATGAGGGAGTTATAGAATCTAGAATTTCCAATGGAAGAATTAAAAAGGCTTCTGACATGATGGCTAGGATTTTCCCACGCTAGTGATTCCCCTAAATAACAGGAGAGTTTAGTTAACCCCATGTCAACTATCTGAAGGGGTTGATAAGCTACAGTCCTTCTATAAATGCTTCCAAGGTGTTAAATATTCAATTAGGCATTCTGAAGTTTTTATCCCAAGATCACATGAGAATACATGACTGTATAATCTTGTGTTTCTCTGTAGGAATATCTAGATTCTCTATAACGCTTTCTTTCTTGTTCACTGTGAATCTAAGAAATTGTCAGCATATTATGCATCACACAGATGACCATCTTATCCTCTAATTATTGGCAAACACAGAATTAGTATGTATTTGCTTTTGAGTTTATGGATTTCACTGTCAAAAACTAATCACCTAGGCTGGTCACAGTGGCTCACACCTGTAATCCTAACACTTTGGGAGGCTGGGACAGGAGAATCTCTTGAGGCAACATAGCAAGATCCTGTCCCTACAAAAATAAAAAAATTAGCTAGGCGGATAGGGCACACCTGTGGTCCTAGCTGCTAGGGAGGCTGGAGTGGGAGGATTACTTGAACCCAGAAGTTCAAAACTATAGTGAGTTAGCATCATGACACCTCACGCCAGCCTAAGTGACAGAGCAAGACCTTGTCACAAAAACAAACAAACAAAAAACCCTAATCAACTAAATAACAGCTTTTACCTTTTCATATTATGCTTAAGGTTCCTTTGAGTTTATGCTGATGAACCACCTCATAGTTCATGGAATCTTCATAGATTGTTAGAGCCAATCTTCAAGATGATCTAGTTTAATATCCTCAATTTACAGAGGGTGAAATTGAGACTCATACAAAGTGTTAAATTTGATTTGGAGGCAAAATTATAATCAGAACAAGATTTTTCATCATGTAATCATTTGTCACAATGTAGTCTTTTGAAACCAGAATTTTGAATTTGTTAGGGTTTTTGTTGTTTTCCTTTCCTGTTTGCTTAGTTTTTTTGCCCACCTTTGGAATTTATAGTCCAGAATTCGTCCTCATCAAAATGTGTGTCCCCTCCAATGCCATATCCAGGTCCAAAAGCATGGGCTATGACTCCACCTCTGCCATCAAAAGCATTGTAGTCTCCATGAGCTTTTGGAAAAGGAAAGAAAATTAGTCCTTTTGTACATCCTATAGATCATGCCAAATGACAAAGATGAAGTACAAGTTCTCTACCTCCACGTGCAAAAAACATCACAATGTCAGCCACGCCTGCGTTAATCTTGCTGAATTTCAAGGGAGTAACATTACTCCATACTTGGAAAGCTTTCTGGATTGCGTAGTCAACATCCTCATGGTTCATGTCAGGTGTATAATTATGGATGCTTTATCAGCAAAAAGAGAGAAAAAATGTATGGAAAGCATAACTTTGTCTTATAATACTTCATTTTTGCCAGCACAATTGGAAGATGGATCATTTCATAAATCAATAGTTCAGATTTTAAAACTTGCTTCATTAAGTGCAGAAACATTTTTCCTTGGACAACTTCCTTCTTAACCAAAATCCAACTTATATTCTTCTTATTTAAAACTCACAGGTCATCAGCTTAAAGGATTTGCTTTCATAGAAGCTTATGCTTTTTGCTGCTGCTCCCAGATTCCGCATTTATCCATCTTGACTACTCTATAAACTTCCCCCTGTCTCTTATTTATAGTAAATTTAGTTTCATTCTCCATTTGCAGCTTTTTAAATCTGCTTTGGACTGGCAAGCCAAACGACTCACCCCTGAGTGAACAATTCTTCCTTCTAAAGAAAATAATTTTTTTTTTTTTTGAGGTGGAATCTCTCTCTGTCACCCAGGCTGGAGTGCAGTGGCATGATCTCAGCTCACTGCAAACTCCACCTCCTGAGTTCAAGTGATTCTCTCGCCTCAGCCTCCCGAGTAGCTGGCACTACAGGTGCATGCCACCACGCCTGGCTAATTTTTGTATTTTTAGTAGAGATACGATTTCATCTTGCTGACCAGGATGGTCTCTATCTCTTGATTTTGGGATCCGCCCACCTCAGCCTCCCAAAGTCCTGGGATTACAGGGGTGAGCCACTGTGCCCGGCCGAGAAAATGAATTTCATCAGAGATAGCGTTAACAATTAAGGGAGGTTACTTTATCTACTTCCAGATTTAGGGCTGTGTCTAACTTGTTCAGGTTAGGAGTCAGACCTATGGGAAAGTAGAAAATATAGGGCAATATACACCAACATTACCTGTAGGTGATATAATGTTTCTTCCATACCGGCCTCCCTGCCATTGTTGTGAAATGATGGACATCGGGGACTCCACATCGAGGTGTGTGCATCATCTCCAGAGTAGATGTGTCTAATCGCCCAGTCACTTTCAGCCCCAAGAACTGCTGCATTTCCTGAATTTTTTCCTTTAGTAAGTTTCCATTGGCTTTCATTTTTGTTGCTGGAAGGTTGTTCTTCTCAAGGCCATAAAAATTTTCTAAGTATCTCTGGAAAAAAATCCATTCAGTAATGCAAAATTGCCCACAAAAAAGTTTCTGTTGGGAACTCCATGTATATGACTAAATTGCACACTGACACTTTGAGACCAGGAATTTTGCACATCTTACAGGTTAGATTATTATTGCTTGGACAATTATAATGAGGAAAAAAAATCGTAATTTTTTGTGCTATCAAACATGTGTCAATCAGGAGCCAGTGGCTCAGGCCTATAATCCCAGCATTTTGGGAGGCTGAGGCAGGAGGATTGCTTGAGCCCAGAAGTTCGAGACTAGCCTGGACATCATGGCAAAACGCATCTGTCTAAAAAATGCAAAAATTATCCCAGAGTGTTGGTGCATGCCTGTAGTCCCAGATACTCAGGAGGCTGAGGTGAGAGGATCACTTGAGCTTGGGAGGTAGAAGCTGCAGTGAGCCGTATTCCTGGAATCCCAGTGGAAATATCTTCTTAAAAATTTATTTATTTTTAAGAGATGGAAGTCTCTCTTGGTCACCCAGGCCGGTCACAGTGGTGCACACCTGTAATCCCAGCACTTTGAGAGGCCAGGGTGGAAGGATTGCTTGAGCCACAGAGTTCAAGACCACCCTGGGCAACATGGTAAAACCCTGTATCTTATTAAAATACAAAAATTAGCTGAGAGTGGTGGCTCGTGCCTGTAGTCCCAGCTAGTTGAGAAGATGAGGCAGGAGAATCACCTGAGCCCAGGAGACAGATGTTGCAGTGAGCCAAGATTGTGCCACTGCACTGTAGTCTGGGTATCAGCCTAAAACCCTGTCTCAAAAAAAATACATTTTATTAATATCATTATTATAAGTTGGGATACAAATCTCTTGCTTAAAAACTCAAAACTAAACAAAATAGACAACTATGATAAATTCAATGTTACAGTAATCTTAGAGAATAGGGAGACCAAACTCTTTTAATTAAGGAAAAGAAACTAAGAATTGAAAAAAAAAATCCATTAAAAATGCTATAAAGATGGGCCCAGCATAGTCGCTCATGCCTGTAATCCTATCACTTTGGGAGGCTGAGGCAGAGGATTGCTTGAGCCCAAAAGTTACAGACCAGCCTGGGCAACTTAGTGGGACCCCAAAAAAGCTATAAAGATATATATCTGAGATGACTGAGGGTAAAGGGAATATGCTTAGATTATTGTGGCAGCCTGAAGTGGTTATATTAATGAAACCATTGTTCAGATCTCAGATTATTAACTGGCATTTAATGACTAGTGTAAAATACCATAACAGAAGTGAACTCCAATTATATTGAATGGAAATTTCTTGGCCAAAGGATTTTAGAAGGAACAAGTTCAGTTGCCAATATCATAACACTCCTTCAAAACCAATACCTCTTTTTTATATTCTTCTTTGGCAAAGAAAATCTTAATACTGAAAGCAGACAGCCTCCTAGACCAATTTTCAACTGGTACTTCAAACAAACAAAAAAAGTGGTTAATGCAATAAATCTTAAAAGACAAACATCAAGCTAGATAAATACTGTAGCGTCCATACTTACTTCACCAAATAGCTCATTATTTTTTTCCAGGCTTGTAGAGCTGTTCAGGGGAAGAGCTCCAGAAGCAGTGGCCTGCAGGAGCAGTAGTAGAAGAAACTTCATTGTAAACTTCTAAGTGGATCAACTCAGTTTACACTGTTCCTTTCTAGCTTAAGTTCCTGAAATGTTCCTCTTTATATACCTCTTAGGCCAGGCTCTGTGAATGTGAATCCTATGAGTGACTCATAGTTGATATCATCTTTTGATTTATCTCAAAAGCATGCAAAGAAAGCATGACCTTATTTGACCAACAATGGGTCAATTTGCATCGAGTCCATCACTCAAGCAATACAGAGTATATGTAATCAAAATGATAAATAAGCCCCTACTTCCACCTATTCTACAAAATATCCCCTTGTAAAAGAAATATCAAGCAACTAAAAGAGAAAGAGGACTTAAAATATATTTTCTTAAAGGCTGGTATTCTTGATTTTCATTATAATACTTTCCTTATATTCATTATAGATAAAATAAATTTTTAAAATAAATTTTGAAAGATTAGCTAAAATCCTTTTGCTGGAGTAGATAGATACTTTCTAAACTGAATTTAGCTCCCCAGAGAAATGTGATACAGAGATTTTATATGTAGCAAAGAAAAGTTTGTAATATCGTGATACTTCATTGTTTGTTCCACGTATTGTCCCAGCTTAGATTCTGATTCTATGACTTAACATCTTCAGACATCTGAGCTGAAGCCCAGTCCCAACTGGGTACCTGGATAGATTCCAGAGGCAAACTTTCCCACCTCCTAGATTGCCTAGGTTGGTAGGATGCGGGTTATCTCTTTTCAACTTTAACAGATCGGAAAAGTTTACCTCTGGAATCTATCTGCCCATCACCTCAGCTTCCTTCCACCTCTACCTAATTGTCTCATTGCACAGAACCTGCCTCTTACTCAATAGAGAATATTTAAGCCCTAAAAGCATTAACGAGTCAGGCAATAAAATTCCAAAGGTAGAACTGCAAGCAGTGGTGCTGCAGCGTGCGGAGAGATTCTTCTGAACATCCCTTCAAATCACACCACAAGTTTCCTGCCTCCTGATTGTATAGGGAAGATCTGGTCGGTGTGGTAGGGGACACATAACAGTGTGTTATGATTTTGTCATTGCTCTGGCCCACCTCTGTGACCAGGGAAACAGTCTGTTGGCTGCTCGAGTGAAGCTTAAAGAAAAGGAGAAAAATATAGAAAAAATAATAATTATCTAATTTAAAAATTATTTTGCCCAATGCTTGCAGAGAGCTATGCAGATTCTTTCTGATCTGTTCTCCTCTCTCTAGCCATTGGTTTGTTTTCTCTGAGTCTATTTAACCTACAAATACAGCTGGTCATTCCCTTATGAGAATGTCACCTTTAATGACACAAAGTTTAACAGACTTGCTTTCTGTGAGCTAAATAATATCTCTAAATCCAAATCACTCGGCTTTATAAATGTTTTCCAGAAAATTATTATCAATCCTGTGGCAAGACGCCACATCAGACCAGGTGAAATTGGTGTCATAGGTCACTGACTGACCTGGTAATGTAGAGTACAGGCTACTTCATGAAGATGTACATTCTCAATGTGGGTGATATCACCCCCAACTGGGTGAAAAATTGGTCATCAAGGGCAAAAAAAGAATCTTTTTTGT